GTAAAAGGTCTAATCTCTCCCCCATAATTTAAAATTTTGTTTCAGAAAATATAGCCAAATACATCTAGTATATGCATCTATAAAGGCTATGTAATAGTTAAGATCAGACCAAGTCAAATGATGCATTATAAATATTTGATGACAAGGGTGTATGAGCTCTATGAGATTATCCTAAATATTGGGGATTTGTAAAAAACCAAATGTATCTTTATTTAATGTATGTATATTGCACATAAAGTGTATTTCTATTTAATGTATGTATAGTACATAAATGAAAGTGAGGTAAATTAAGAGAAAGAATGAAGCAAAGTTACTGTGACTTTTCTGCCTTTAAGTCACTCAAACTTTATCTAGAATATGAAAATGGATTCGGTGACTTTTCAACGGGAAAGTCACGGTAACTTTGGTGTAACTTTGGTTGATTTTAGCAGGAATAAGTAAATAAAAAATAGTACATAAATGAAGTGAGGTAAATTAAGACAGAAAATGAAACAAAGTCACTATGTTTTTTCTACCTTAAATTCACTCAAACTTTACCCAATACATTAAAATGGATTTAGTGACTTTCCAGCAGATAAGACACGGTAACTTTGGTGTAAGTTTGGTTGATTTTGACAGGAAAAAATAAATAAAAAATAGTACCTGAATTATTGCCTTTCTTAGTTGATTTCAACTGTACTCTTAATTGATGAACTTGCTTTCATCCATGCATTGAAGTATTTGTGAAAACTTGTGTTACAACTATACATACCAGTTAATAGTACCTTAATAGAAGCTTAAATGCTTAGACCATGTGCAATGGTGTGTTTAATTGAACTCAACATGGCAAAATCATGTGCAATGGTGTGTTTAGAGTAGTGTTGAGTGTGTGTTGGAGGAGAGAGATGTTGAGAAAACTCAACACCATGTACACTGACGCATGGGCTGACGTGGCAGCGGCTGGTTGACTGACCAGATTTTTATCCATTTAATACTTTGAACTCAATTATTTCGTTGCAAATTAATTTTTTTTTTTTTTACCAAAATTCATGATTTTTTTTTCTCTATAAATAGAGACTTGGTTCATTTGATTTGGACACAAAAAAAAACTAAGTTTTTCACTATCTTAATTTTATTATTAGTGTTTATTTTGAAGTTAAGTGTCTTTTTTTAGTGAAATGGATCCCAATAATCATTTTAACACTCAAAATTTTGCTAATTTTTCATTTAACCAAAATCCCAACAATTTTCCAAATCCCAACAATTATCAAAATCCCAACTATTATCAAAATCCAAATCAATTTTCCAACCAACATCCTCAAAACATACCTAATTTTGGTTTTCCACCAAATTTCAACCAGACATCCTCTGTTCCAAACTTTCAAACATATTATGGATCTATGCCGAGAAATCCATCTCAAACACCCCCGTTTAATGGTTATGTGACAATGGCGAATGCAAATTTTCCAAGTGGTGGTGTACCTGAATTTCCCGAGTTTTCAACACAACTAACTATTGGTGGCATGATAGTTTCTAATGAAGTCGGTCCAAATTCAGAGGATTCAACTCCTAAGAGCAGGAAAACTCAGCAACCAGCATGGAACACTGAACAAAATTTGGTGCTAATTAGTGGGTGGATTAAATTTGGAACAAGCAGTGTTGTCGGGAGAAACCAGAAAGGTGAAACATATTGGGGTAAAATTGCTGAGTATTGTAATGAGCATTGCTCATTCGATCCTCCGCGTGATGGACCTGCATGCCGAAACCGTTTTAATTATATGAACAAAGTGTTGGGTAAATGGATTGGCGCTTATGATGGCGCTAAGCGTATGCAAGGAAGTGGTTGGTCGGAGAATGATGTTTTGGCAAAAGCGCAGGAATTATATGCATGTAGGAAGAATGTTAGATTCACTTTAATGGAAGAATGGCACGCTCTCCATGATCAACCACGTTATGGTAGTCAAGTAGGAGGAAATATTGGCTCAGGAAGTAGTGGATCTAAGAGATCTCGCGAGAGTGATGCATGTGGCTCAAACACTGTAGAATTCAGTGCTCGTCCTATAGGAAGGGAGGCAGCTAAAAAAAAGGGTAAAAAGAAAAGCAAGGAATATGCCTCGGAGGTGGTGGACAAAGAATGGGCTGAATACAAAGAATTCAAGACGAAAGAGCTTGAACGATTGGACAACATAGCCTTGATGCAACAACAGGCTAACAATATAGCCTTGGAAAAGACTAAAACCAAGAAAATGAAGATGTATCTAAAGCTAACTTCCGAAGAGCATCTAGATGACCGGAAGAACCAGTTGTTGAAAAAGTTGGAGGCAGAACTGTTTGATAGTTAATTTCAATGAAGTATTTGTCAGTGTTGTGTTTGCTTTAATTATTGTTGTTTCAATATGCCAGTGTTGTGTTTGCTTTAATTATTGTTGTTTCAATATTGTCAGTGTAGTGTTTGTTTAATTATTGTTGTTTCAATATGCCAGTGTAGTGTTTGCTTTAATTATTGTTGTTTCAATATGCCAGTGTTGTGTTTGCTTTAATTATTGTTGTTTCAATATGTCAGTGTAGTGTTTGCTTTAATTATTGTTGTTTCAATATGCCAGTGTAGTGTTTGCTTTAATTATTGTTGTTTCAATATGCCAGTGTAGTGTTTGCTTTAATTATTCCTTATCTGATAATTAACTCTATACAATAAATTATTTCGAATCCGTCAGTGGTCCACCACCCAATTCGAATCTATTCCTTATCTGATAATTAACTCTATACAATAAATTATTTCGAATCCGTCAGTGGTCCACCACCCAATTCGAATCTATTCCTTATCTGATAATTAACTATATACAATAAATTATTTTGAATCCGTCAGTGGTCCACCACCCACATCCATTTATATATAGGGACTCATACATCCATTTATGTACCAATATCCCAAATCCCATCCAATCTACCTCCAATATCACAAAAAAATGGATCCATCACAATATCATTTTGATATCGCAGCCTACAATCAAAATCGTGAAATTGAAGAAAATTATATAGTCAATCGATTTAGAGAGCGTAGAAACAAAATATCGGAAGATAATGCACCTCGTAGTAGAAAATATCTCAATAGAGATCATGCAGCGGCAAACCAAAGACTAATTGACGACTACTTTGCCAATGAGCCTACATATGACGATGCAATGTTTCGTCGTCGGTACCGGATGAAAAAAAAAGTTTTCCTTCGAATCGTTGGGGACCTTTCAAGTAGTGATAACTACTTCACCCAGCGAGTTGATGCAGCCAATAAAGAAGGTATATCACCCTTAGCAAAATGTACCACAGCAATGCGAATGTTAGCATATGGTGTGGCAGCAGATGCGGTCGATGAGTACATCAAAATAGGAGGTACTACAGCATTGGAGTGCTTACGTAGATTCTGTAAAGGAATCATACGCTTGTACGAGCAAGTGTATCTGAGAGCACCAACCCAAGATGACCTGTAAAGAATACTGCATGTTAGTGAAATGTGGGGGTTCCCAGGGATGATTGGGAGTATTGACTGCATGCACTGGGAGTGGAAAAATTGTCCTAAAGCATGGGAAGGACAATTTACTAGAGGGGATAAGGGAACCACCACAGTTATTCTTGAAGCAGTTGCATCTCATGACCTATGGATCTGGCATGCCTTTTTTGGATGTCCGGGAACGTTGAACGATATAAACGTTCTAGACCGGTCACCTGTGTTTGATGACGTGGAACAGGGAAAGGCTCCAAGTGTGAATTTCTTTGTGAATCAACGTCCATATAATATGGCATACTATCTAGCTGATGGTATCTACCCTTCTTATCCAACTTTCGTCAAATCGATTAGACTTCCTCAAAGTGAACCCGATAAATTATTTGCAAAATTTCAGGAGGGATGTCGGAAGGACATCGAACGTGCATTTGGAGTGCTCCAAGCTCGATTTAAAATCATCCGTGAACCAGCTCGCTTGTGGGACATAGCTGATTTGGGTATCATCATGAAGTCATGCATCATATTACATAATATGATTGTTGAGGATGAACGAGATTCATATTCTCAACGTTGGACCGATTTTGAGCAATCTGGGGAAAGTGGATCTAGTGCACCACAACCATACTCGACCGAGGTGTTACCCGCTTTTGCAAATCATGTGCGTGCTAGATCAGAGTTCCGTGATCCAAATGTTCATCAAGAATTGCAAGCCGATCTAGTGAAGCACATATGGACAAAGTTTGGAATGTTCCGTGATTGAATTATTTGTGTGTTGTATTGCATTTTAAATTATTTGTATTGTACTAATTACGTTACTTGTGTGTTGTATTGCATTTTAAATTATTTGTAACGTACTAATTACGTTAATTGTGTGTTGTATTTTAAATTAATTTAAGATGATTTGTATCGTATCCAATTATTTAAATAAATTTTGTTTTTATTATAAAAAATTAAAAAATAAATTATTAAGTATTTATTATTTTAATTTAATTTTAATCGATAATTGTAATTTTATGTAATCATAAAAATAAAAATAAAATTTAAATAAGAATATGAAAATAAAAAGTGGTGGGGTAGAGTGTTGAGTGAAAAACCATTGGAGAGGGTAAAAGTTGAATGGGTGTTGAGTTATTAGGTGGAAGAAAGAGAAAATGATGTGGAGTGTTGGAAGTTGAAAAAGTGGGTGTTGAATTTTTCAACCATTGTAAATGATCTTACAGAAACCTAACATTACTCAAAAAAAGGAAAATAACATAACATGTAATTTTGAATCAAATGAAAACAAGAGCATCTCTTAGTTATAAATAGCAATTGAAATACATTCATTATTCATATAGTTGAAAAAGAATACATGATGTTTGAAACAAAATCCTCACACCCTCTATATACATATATAAACTCCATGAACAAATAAAATAAAGAATCAAATATATATATATATATATATATATATATATATGTATACAATAATATAATCTCTTTTTTTTCTCACTAATTCAAGTAACTCAAAATCTCATTCCTTTTATTCATTTGTTTGAACTTTAGCTCCATCCTCATCAACTTCAACTTCAACCAATTCTGGCTTAATCTCTTCTAACTGCTGCAAAACTTGCTTAACTTCAGGTCTAGCAGAAGGTGAAGGATCAACACAATGCAAAGCCAATTTCAATGTATTAAGAAGTTCATCTCCTATGGTAGGTGCATCCCTCATGAGTTCCAAATCAAAAACTTCATTAGTCCATTCTTCTTTAACTATGGAAGCAACCCATTGAGGTAAATCCATGCCATTGGTTGGTTCCCCCGGCGGTTTACCGGTTAAAAGCTCCAAAAGGATGACGCCGAGGCTGTAAACATCAGTTTTCGTGGTTGGCTTCTTTGTCTTTGAAAGCTCCGGTGCGTTGTAACCGAGGCTGCCTGCTGTGGCAATGATGTTTGTGTTGGCTGAAGTTGTCATTAGTCTTGAAAGACCGAAATCGGTTATGTGAGGATTTGTTTGCTCGTCTAATAGTATGTTGCTTGAGGTGAGATTTCCATGTACTATGTTTTCTTGGTTGTGGAGGCAAGATAGACCGTTGCTGATTCCAATTGCTATTTTCATCCTTGTTGGCCATTCGACGATGATTTCCGCCCCGCGAGCTGCAAGTATATGTTTAGACATATCAATATCAGAAGCGTTGCTATATATATTAAAAGATAAAATATGATTGACTAATAAGATTCACAATACATTCTAAGTTTCGGTCGAATTCTCTGCGGTTAGAAAATCACACAATTACGCGACTTGAATCATTTAATCAAGATTGACACAATATCATCTAATTAGATTGTGCGATTCACCGCAGTCAGGAGATCACACAATCTAGACCATTGAATCAAGATCAGATAGTTCATATTCCAACTTTGGTAAAGTCGGAAGATGAACCTTATAATCTTGATCCATTAGTCCATACTATAAGCAATGTGTGACTTACCATGAAGGAATGATGCTAGGCTTCCTCGACTCATGTAATCAAACACAAGAAGCTTCTCTCCTTTAGGTCCAAGATAGTAAGCTCTAAGAGCCAACAAATTGGGATGCCTAATTTTTCCAAGCAAAGCAACCTCGCCTTCAAACTCCTTATGTCCTTTAGTAGTCTTCTCCCTCAACCTCTTCACAGCAACTTGATTACCATCTTCCAACGTCGCCTTATAAGCAGTTCCATAAGCACTTTTTCCCATTATCTCCGCCGTTGCACACAAAAGATCATCAGCAGTGAACACAAATGGCCCATCAAAGTGAACAAGCTTCCCACCAGCTTCACCTCCTGATGCAACCTCTCCACCACCACCTTTCTCCAGACTCCTAGTAGAAGCAGCAGCTTTAGCAGCTTTACCACTCTTCCTACTTGAAGAAGCTCTTTTCCTGACCAAACAACAAAGCAAAAAGCAACACAGTAATAGCAAAATCAACAAAAGAACACCTGCTACTATGAGGATTGTATCCTTAGTACTCAATTTCCGGTCATGTATCTTCGAAGGAGATTCTTCCGGTGACTGAGACGGAAGATTATGAGGTGGTGGCGGCCGTGGCGGTGGTGGTGAAGAACGACATGGTTTCGAACTTATGTAACCACATAAACCAAAATTTCCTTCAAATGAACTAGCATTGAATCTTTTGGAAAGTACTAATGGAACATGACCAGATAGATTATTATGAGAAACATTGAATGAACTTAGATTTCGAAGTTTCGTAAAAGAATCAGGAATTTCACCACCAAGTTTATTGTTTTCAAGATTCAATGAAACAAGAGAAGATAAATTAGAGAAACTGAAAGGCAAACTACCATTGATTTCATTGTTTGACAAATCAAGAACCCTAAGCCTTGAAAACTCACCTACTTCACTAGGAATAGAACCAGAAAGTTTGTTATAACTCAAATTAACCCTGAAAATCCTAGTGGAATTCATCAAACCAAAAGGGATTCTACCAATAAGCAAATTATGACTAACATCAAAAGCTTGAAGCATTGGCAAATTAGCAATAGAAGGAGGAATAGAACCTGAAAGCTTGTTGTTAAAAAGATAAACACCTCTAAGATTAGGAAGAAAACCAAGAGAAAAAGGAACTGAACCAGCAAGATTGTTATCATGAAGACTAAGTTTTCTAAGAGATTGAAGTTGACCAATCTTCTCAGAGATTCTTCCTGATAAGCTCTTCCAAGGAAGCTGAATTGCAATAACTTCACCTTTTAAGCATTTGATTCCAACCCAGTTACCTGAACAAGCACCTAAGCCACTATCATTCCATGTTTTAAGAACACCTTTTGAGTCTATAAGTTCAGTTTTGATAGCTTGTAGAGATTGAAAATCAGATTGTGTTACAATAACACCATCCCATAAATCTCCTAAAATGGGTTGAATACTGGAAGATAGAAAAAGTAGAAAAGCTAAAAATGTAAAACTAAAACTAAAACTAAAACTACCCTTTTGGTTTTTTGTACTAAAAATCAAATCTTTAGTGTTGTTCTCCATGAAAGGTGGAGTGAGAACAACAATGGCTATGAAAAGTAGAAAGAAACAAGGTTTCACTAGAATGAAGATTGAAGAAAGATGAAAACTTTGAGAGTGGAAAGGAGAAAGATGAAAACTTTGTGATGAATGAATGAGGAAAGTGAAGTGGGGTTTATGGTTTTAGGGAAAGAGGGAAAGAGAGAGAGAGAAAAACAACATGGGAATGGGTCAAAGGTTGCAGGTTTTGTTGATGTAACGGCTAGTTTTTAAGATTGTTTTATTTTTTTTAATAAAAATTATATAGTTGTTAGATTTTTAATGTTGTTTTTGTGGTGATGTTGAATATTGAATAATTGATTTTGATGAGTGATGAATATAGTAGTAACGGGTTGGTTTGGAGGAGAAGAGACAATGTGTGAGCACCGATGAGAATAATGAGGTTGATATTTTTGGTCCCCAACGGTTACTTTGTGTTGGATTTTCTGAGGGACCCACTGCCACGTTATAATCTGTGCTACTTTTATCAATGTTTTGTTATTATAATGATTATTATTATTATAAAAAATGTTGAGCTTAAGTATACTTGTAGTATTATTCACATTTCATTTGTATTTCACGCTCATTTTTATACTTTATACGCTAACAAACTCTCGTATTTAAAGGAAATTAATGCACCATTTTTAGGTGTAATTTTTACTCTCCATTTAAAATTTCAATATTCATTTTTCTCACTCATTTGAGCCTTTATAATTTCATTAACAACTTATACCAATAACTAATAAAAACTTAAATTTCCAAAAAAAAAGTTTCAATGATTCAACTTCACTCTTGATCTTTGAATCATTATCTTACTTAACTATTTGCAATAAAATCGTTTCATATTTTTTCTAAAACTTAAGTTTTAATGGTATTTAAACTATTTGGATGACTTTCACAATGTGTTAATCACTATAATTTGGTTTTTTGTTTAACACTTTGAAAAAAGCCACTAATTCTTAAGGGGGATTTTGAGAAAACATATGATTTAGTTAGAAGGTCTTGGATGAGAGCTTGTGTTTTTGTTAGTATTTTTGTGTGCTGGTTAATGGGTGTCCTACCTAAGAGATTATTATCTAAAGAGGTTTGAAATAAGGAGATCCCTTAGATCCATTACTTTTTTTCAGGCAGCTGATGCACTCAGTGGTATGGTCTCGTGGGCATATGAGATTGGTCTTTATTCTGGATTCAGAGTTGGTAGTTTCAGGTGGTGATGTCACATCTTAAGTATGCTAATGATACTCTAATAGTGATTGATCATTCTCTAGAGAATTTATGTATTAAGGATATTCTTAGAGGTTTTGAGATGCCTTCAAGTCTTTAAGTGAACTTATTTAAGAGTAGTTTTATTAGGTTAATGTAGATTGTGTCTTTCTTTCCTCGGGTGGGGATTTTAGATTTGAATTTTGTAAGGAATCCACTGCCACCTTCTACTCTGTGCTACTTTGATTAATATTTTGTTATTATAATGATTATTATAAAAATGTTAAGCTTAAATATACTTGTAGTAGTAGTTAGAAAATTAAATATATTCAATAATTACTCACATTTAAATATGGGACCTAACCTTCACTTTAGATTTATCCTGCGACCATCCACACTTCACGCTCATATTCATATTTCAGTTGCTAACAAACTCTCATATTTAAAGGAAGTTAGCACGTCATTTTCAAGTACAATTTTCACTTTTCATTTGAAATTTAACTGTTTATTTTCCTCACTAATTTGAGCATTTATAATTTTATTAACAACAGGTAATAATTCACCATAGCTAGTAAAAACTTAAATTTCCAAATTCATTTTTTCAAAAATTCAACTTCCCTTTTAACCTTTGAATCATTATCTTGCTCGACTATTTGCAATAAAGCTTCTCTTTTTTTTTCTTTTTGAAACTTAAATTTTAATGGTATTTAAACTAATTTGATGAATTTCTCATTAATCACTGTGATTTGGTTTTTTTAGCACTTTGAAAAAATGCACTAATTCTTAAGATGGATTTGAGAAAGGGTATGATTCGGTTAGAAGGTCTTGGATGAAAGCTTGTATTTTTGTTGGTAATCTTGTGGTGTTGGTTAATAAGTGTCCTACCTAAGAGATCAACATTCAAAGGAGTTTAAAAAAAAAGAGATCTCATAACTCCGTTCCTTTTTCTTCAAAGGGGTTGTGGGGTTTAGTGGTATCGTCGTGAGGGCATATGAGATTAGTATTTATTCTAGATTCAAGGTTGATACTTTTGGGTTGGTGGTGTCGCATCTTCAATATACTAATGATACTCTCCTGGTGTCTTCGGGTCTTCGAGTTAACTTTTGGGTTCCTAAATTTTTGTATTAATGTTATTCTTAGAGGTTTTGAGATGTCTTTGGGTCTTCGAGTTAACTTCTTCAAGACTAGTCTAGTCTTATTAGGGTTAATGTAGATCATGTATTTCTTTCCTCAACTAGGGAGTTCACCAATTATGAGATTGATTCTCTTCCTTTTAAGTATTTTGGTCTGCTAGTATGGGCCAACACATGTCTTGAGACTACTTGGGACCCTTTAATTACCTTGTTGGAAAAGAAACTCAACTCTTGAAAGCATAAATATGTCAGCTTGGGTGGTATAGTGGTTCTCTTTGATAACGAGAAATTGTATCGTATAATTGCTACGTTTTTAATCCATTTTCATACTACATTAATCCATTTAACTCCCGATTGTTCCGAGTTTTTTTATGTCTTTTCACAGGTACAACATGTTTCAAGTCAATTTAGTGAAAAAGATCATATGAAGAAAGTTAACATGAAAAACAGAAGAAAAGGGACAAATCTGCAAAGTTCTGCAGATTTTGATGCTGTGACGGCCGTCACACATCTATTACGACCGTAACGCGCTCACATCATGAAGAATGCTCGTCACACATCATTGACGAACGTAACGCGCTATTTAAGCGTCTTACGACCGTCACCTTAGCCTTACGACCGTCACGCGCCTAAACTAATGTTATGGAGAACGAGGAGACGTGGGCAACGTAAAGAAAGGAGTATTCAATCCTACAATCTCTCAACCTCACCAACGCTCAGTCCTAGTTTTTCTCCACTAAAGAAGTACAAGTCCATGTTCCTATTATTTCTTAACTGCCAATTCCTCCTCTATAAATAGGAGAGATTTCAATGAAGAAATATAGAGTTTTTTTTACAGAAAGTTTTATTTTCACAAATTCCTTGCGAAAGCTCTGCCGAATTTGCGAACCGTTTCCAATTTTCATTTTTTTTGCTGCTGTTCTTGTTTTATTTCCCTTTTTACCATTTAATAGCCATTTCCAACATTAGGAAATTGCCATTTTAGTTAGAATCTGTTTTTAGCCTCAGACTTCGTTTCAAGCTTCAATTCCGAAGGTTCCAATCTTGCCGACTTGTGGAAGAGGGAGCTTGAGGAATAGTATTATTATTCAGGTTTTTAATCGCATTTAATTTAATTTTAATACAATTTGTTTATGTCAAATTACCGTTATTTATTTATCATGAATGTTTTACTGTTTCCCGATTATATTTCCTGTCTGTTTGTTTTAAGTACCATGGCTAGCTAAATTTCTAGAGTCGGGATGTAATAATAGTAACTGAATGGATTAAATTATTCCTAAGCTAAAATCTAAATTAACTTAATTTCTGGCTGTGACTTTTTATAATTAAAACCAATCTTTTTGTTACGAGAGTAAGAAAAGTAGAATAGATTAGGATCAAGACCACGAGAGTGTGAGGTTTTAACCGGATAGCTAAAGTTAGGCATTTGATTTAAATACAGCGAGAGCGCTTTAAAACGAATTAGACTTTATTAAGTTTTCAAAGAGTATTTTCTAAACACTTATGGGCTAGCGAGAGCAGGCATAGGGCTTTAGGGGTATAATCTGAGATAAGACCACGAGAGTGTGAGTTGAGGGTTTTTAAACTGATAACTTCTACAGAACCATTTAAGTTAAACATCTTTATATGCTTAGGCTTGATTAAATCTGCTTAGGTTCACTTTATTACATACCGACCGCTTTATTATTATTATTCTCTTAGTTCGATTTAGTTTTCCTCTACTTTAACCTCTAAAAAACCAAACGTGACAACTTCCTCCTTAGCTAAACTAGCAAACCTTTATAGCACTAGAGTGATTACAAAGTCCCTGTGGGTTCAACGTCTTTTTATTACTATCGCGATAGGCTGTGCACTTGCAGTTAAGATATCGTTAGACACATTAGGTCGACCGCACATCAAGTTTTTGGCGCCGTTGTCGGGGACTTTGATTTAGTCACTAGTGCACTCATAAAGTAGCACTGTATAGACTAAGGCAACTATTTATTTTTCCCTCTGTTGTATGCCAAATACTCGCTCCCGAAGCGAGCCTTTGCATTTACAAATCAACGATATCGAGCGCTATCTCAGAGTAAGACACCGAGTTCAAGAATACTGTGATCTCAACAATCTTCCTCCGACTAAGCTTCCTGATATCTCAATCCTTGAGTTAATTGAAGAATCAAAGATGGCTGACGTACCAAATCCACCTCGTGCTCTTAAGGATTACACAGTCCCTTCTCAAGCGGAACCTCACAACAACATTGCCGCTCCTGCTATCGCTCGAAATGATTTCGAGCTGAAACCTTCGCTTCTATCCGCCGCTCAGCAGAACCAATTTTCTAGATCTCCTACTGATGACCCAAACCTGCATCTGTTTGTGTTTGTGTAGTACGCAGACATTGTAAAAGCGAATGGTGTAAACCCCGAGGTGATACGATTGCACCTATTTCCTTTTTCTTTAAGAGACAGAGCTCGAGCATGGCTCCAATCTCTTCCTTCAAACTCAATCACCACATGGGATGAGTTGAAGAAGGTCTTTTTGGCTAGATATTTCCCACCAAGCAAAACTGCTATGCTCAGAGCCAACATCAATGGTTTCAGACAAAAAGATAACGAATCACTTTTCGAAGCGTGGGAACGCTATAAGGACATGATTAGACTCTGTCCTCA